TCATATATTGGCTCATACCCAAAGTTCAAATTAGTTATTCCTAAACAACCTCTTTTGTCATCCCAAATAACACATGTTCCTATTCAACCTCCACAGATTGGCCTATACCTATATACTTTCCTAGTCATGATCAGTGCTTTTCAAAACCTTAGTGCTTATCAATCTATCCATAAGCCAAGTTTCCAATCAACCTTTGGGTGTATGCATCTAGTTTTACTTCAAGAACTACACTTCTAAGTCAAACAAGCTGCTCAACCTAAAAGATTATTGAGTAAAAAGAATGAGAGAGCTATCATTGATTCAATCCCTATGACTTATACTGAATTATTCCCACTACTCCTCAAAAACTATTTAATCGTGTTACCTTTAAATTGATCCTTATTTTGAAATGACAAAACATTAAGCTAAATAAGCTTGATCAAGATTTTGAAAAAGATTTATTTAGTACATGTTCTTAAGTTTTATTATTTTGGTACTAAATAAATAATATAATTTTCAAAGTTTAAACAAATATTTCTTTATGTTTTCTTATTTCTCAAATCTGAACTATCTTTAAACATTATTTATTTGAGCTTAAATTAAAGTCTAATTATTATTTTTAAAGTGAATTTATTCATTTTGGACTTGAAACAATTTTGATAATATTGGTTTTGAGAAATTGATTAACTTAAGAAAATTGTTTTACAAGAACAAACTTTTCTAACATTGAACTTGTTTTATTTTTTTGTCTTATATGGTTGGAAAGCTCTTTAAGTCTACTTTCTAATGGATCAAACAAAGTCAAAATCCAAATTTTTTAAAAATAGATTTTGAACTTTGACTAGACACTATGCAATTGTCTAAAAATTGTATAATGGGTAGTTTTAAAAATTCACTATAATTATAATACAATGAATTAAATGATGATATAGAAAGCCCTTTAAGTTTAGTTTCTAAATCTTCAAACAGTTTTTGATTTGGAGTCGTATAACTCAAGATATAATCAAATTAGTGAATATAGTGCAAAATAAGATACAACCAGAAGCACTGTTCATCCAAATCATTCCAAAATCTGGTTAACCCAATCAATCAGGTACCTAAACCAATCAATCTCTTTAGTTGTAATGATAAAAAATTGAGTGAAATTTAAGAACAAATTGATCTCCTATCAAAACCAATCGATCCCCTATCAAAACTAATCGATCCTTTCATCCCAAACAAGCTTCAACGACTAGTTTCAAAGGAGAAACTTACATGTTTTCATTTCCCAAGCTTCTCTAATGATTAGTTCATCAATTCCTTTATAAATTAGGTATTCCAATACACTAAGAAGGTTGATGAATTAAGAGAGCATGATAAAAAAAGTCATATATTCATTCTCTCAAAGAAATCAAGAGTTTTAGAGCTTTAAAATCTATATCTTTGTATTTATTGTATCCAAATCATATTTATTGTTCATTCATCATTTCTTTATTCTTAAACTTAGTAAACACCTAGCCTTAAAGAGGTTGTTCTATTGTTTGCAAAACTACCTTTGATATACAAAGAGGGAAAAGAGCAAAGGTTGAGGTATCCTCTTAGAGTTTTGTAGGTAAAATACTACAAATAGTAGGCATTTTTTTTAGAGTTTTATAGTGAGATTGAGTAAAATACTATAAAAAGTAGAGATTTTTATCTTAAGCTTTTTGAGAGTTTTATAATGAGATTGGGTAAAATACTACAAAAGGTAAAGATTTTTATCTTAAGCTTTGGAGAGAAAAAGATAAGGCTGTATTTTCAATTCAAGATTAGTAGATTGAAACATTGGTGTGGACAACCAAAAAAAGATGACATAAGAGTCTTATGGAAAAGGACCGAACCTTTATAAATCTTTGTTTTTGATTTCTCTATCCCTATTTCTTTATTTTCATTGTTGATTTTATTTACTCCAAGAGATATAAATTGTTGTCATTTGCATCATATTTTGGTATTGATTTTAATTTCCCCTTCAATTATTTTGAAATCATTATTTAGGAAAAATTTAGAGAAATCCAATTCACTCCCCTCTTCGATCACTATCTCACCTAAAAAGCTAACAATTAGTATTAGAGCTTTAATCTATTTTTATAGGTTTAACCACCTTGAGTAAAGATCCTATGGCTCAATTTAGATTCCAAAATGGTGAGAAAGTCCTCAGAGCTCCTATGTTCGATAACTATGAGTTTTGTGAATAGATAATGAGGATGAAAGTGTTCATAATGGCTCAAGAATTTAGAACATGGAATGTAATTGAAAAAGGATTGGAACTCCTTCCACTGATGTAAATTACATGACACAAGTGATGGATAATGCCAAGGCTAAGTGCTTACTCTATGGAGCTTTTGACCCCATTAATACCAACTTGGTCTCAAGTTGCTCCAATTCAAATGAGATATGACGAAAGTTGGATAAGCTACATGAAAGATAAATTTTCACCCATCATGCATCTTGTCTTATGACTATTGAAAAACCGGAGGTAATCTGTAACTCTTGTGATTTAAATTCATATACATTTGATAAATTGTAAAATAGTTTTAATATATGTTGAATGTGAATCAATGATGAGGAAGTATAAGAACATGATTTCAAAGTTGAATGTTGAGAATGAGTTTTATATGAATTCTAAAAATGTTTTAGAAAAAAAATGAAAAGTTGAAAATAGATTTTGAAACCTTTCAAAATAGAAATGAATTTTTAGAAAAATAAAATTTTGATTTGCAAAATAAATTTAACGAATTGATGAATGAAAAACAAAAGCTTTTCAGGAATTGTTTAACTACTAAAATGATGAAATACAATTTTTGTAATTTTCATAGTCATACCACACACACGTCCTATTAAAGAAAAGGCCCATTCCAAAATTTGACAAGCATGGGTTTATAAAGAAACAAGAGATTTAGTCACTAACTCTCAAGGACCCAAAATAATTTAGGTACCAAAAATCAAATGAGAATATTTGTTATATGTGATATAGAGCAAAGAGCTACAATGCGAGTTTGAAGAATAGAACTTTAGACACACAATAGAGATAGGTAACCTCTAAGCCATATTTTTATTTGAAGTGAAATGAAATTGGTTGCCTGTTCTTGTTGAATATTAAAGTGCTTAATTGTTATTAAGTATGTATTTATTTTTGCTCCTTAGCATGTTTGAGATAATTGTTGAAATTGTTTTTTGTGCTTAATTGCTTAAGAGATATTTATTATTATTTTGAGGACTATATGTGTATTGTTGTTGATATAAATAGTTGATATTGATGTTATATCTTTGGTGTGATTAATTGTGTGCTTGATTATTTTTATATTTATGCACAAACCTAGGGGGGAGCATACAAAGCTTAATGATTTTGAATTTTTAAGTTTTGCTTTGAAAATGATTTTTGATAGAGTCAAGTTTTAAAATATGAAATTTTGTTTTACCAAGTTTTAAAGTGTAAAATAAATTTGAATATCTTGTATTCAATATTTTAAACTTACTTGAACAAAGAAACTTAATAAGTTACATTGGTTTTAATTTTTCATAATATTACATGTAAGTTTTAAAGGTTTTTGGAGCTTAAAAGATCAAATATTACTTTTACACATTTTGGGGCATAAAAACCATTTAAACATTTTCAAATTGTGATATAAAACTTTTCTAAATGGTTTAAAGAGCTTAAAATATATTTCTAACATTTTTACCCATCTTAATAGCATTTTTTAAGGAAATATGGGGTTTAAGAATTTACTTTTTGATTTCTTTATTTCTAAGGCCAAATGACCACTTGAACAACTTGTTTTGACATTGAAAATTGGTTGGAATGACTCAAGTTGGTTACAAATGAACTTGACAAGCTTTTAGAATTTTTTTAAGGTCTTTTCTAAGCAAAAATAAGCTTGAAGCTCTCAAGAATCAAAATCTTGAAAATACTAAGTTTTGAATGGTTTACCCTATCCTATTTTGTTTAGTATAAATAAATTTGTTTAAATAAGTTTAGTGCTACAAAAATGATTTTTACTGTCTTAATGCATTTTGTGTGATATATATTGATGGTTGAATTATATAAGGCTTGAGAAATTTGTTAAAATTGTACATGTTTTATGAGTCAAACAAGTTTTCATATTTATGAAAAATATTTACAAACTTGTTCCAAAGTTTTTTGAATAAAAGTGATAAAGGTTTAATGTTTCAAGACTATTCTCAGCACTATTCATGCATAAATGAGATTTGGACCATTGAAAATTTGAAATACTTACATTTGTTAAATATTTGTGCTTTTACCATATTTATTTGAATACTTGCATGCTTTTCCATCCTTTGCATGTGGTTTCAAGTGGCTTCAAGCCACTTAGCATTTAGCTCCCCTTTCTTTTCAGAGTGTTTTTTTTTTTTTTTTTGGGCTTATTCATTTCATTTTTGGGATTTAAAATTGCTTGAGCTTAGATGGGCTCTTTTATTGATTTTTAGTGAAAATTTTATTTTATTATTTTAATTATTAATTTTTTAATTTAAGATTTAAATTTTTTATATTTAAATATCATTATTATTATTATTATTTTATATATATTTTTTAACTTAATGGCCATCAAGGGAATTTTAAGATTAGGCTTTTTACATTACTTTAAAAGTGGATTGTATATTGAGTTACAAAAAAAAAAGAAAGATCAAATTCAATTATAAAAATTAATCTAAATAAAAAAAAATCAAATAAAATTAAATATCTACATTAAAAAATGGAGCTGCGAGGAAGTAGGGTGGAAACTGATGCAGGTGGTACATGAGCTTGAAAAGGTAGTGGACTCTTACTGGGAGAGAACAAGAATAACAATGGTATTTTTAGGGCAGCATTACAGTACTGAATTTATCGATTTCTACTTATCAATAGGTTTGCAAATACATTGAGTTATAATGTTGCGAAGCTATCTTGCGTTGAGGGTCAAAAAACTGTACAGGAGCATCTCCCAGATTCCATCACAAATGTTGATGTTTTTCTAGAATAATGAAAGTTTTTTATTTTTTGATAAAAAAATAACAAGGAAAGAAATCCGTTAGTAACTTCTTTAACTGCAAGTTTAAATGTTTTTAAAATAGAATATTACTTAAATTCCTAAAACATAAAACCCTAATTCTTTCCTCCTTCTCATTTCTCTTTTCCCTCACCCCGACCCATTTCTCTCCCAGCACTCTGACGGCGCCCCTACCCTCACTCCCAGTGGTGCCCATGACTGTCGCCATCCCCTACTTTCGCTGGCCGCCACCTCTGCCTGCACTGTCCCCTTGCGCGAGCTGCGCACCCTCTCCCTTTCACGAGTTATGTGCTTTCTGCTGCCCTACCCACCCTTTTACGAGCTGCGCCCCTTTCTCCCTCACACCATCGCCCTCTTCGCCTCAAACCCCACTGCAAAATTCCCCAGCTCTACCCCAAACTAGCCTGGTAAAGCCCCCGACCCAGCTTCTTTTTTTTTTTTTTTTAATTTCCTGGTTTTAAGTGTTAGGTGCACCTTACCGGCGGGACATCTTTTATCGAATGGGTCTATCTGTCAAGGATATAGTGGCATTATTTGGGGGTCACACTCTGGTTCGTTTTCTTACATGTTCATGTATCTACCTGGTTTTGTTGGTTATAGACTCAAATCAAACTTTTTGTGTTCACTTTGGTGTTCATCCAGAGAGATTTGGTTTTGATGGCCTTTGGACCAATGAACCACTGAAGTTTGATAACTCTTAATTAGTGTAAGATTAAAATTTGTGATCGGCAAGGTATTATCTTACCTTCTTACTTAAAATTCATATGAAGCCATTTATTATTATTGTTCCAGGGAGCTGCTAAAAGGGTAATCAAAAGGACTATTAAAGCTTGTAACAGACAGGGCTTTGTCGGATGACCTTGAGTTCCGCCAGTATGTAGAGCTTTATGCAAAGGTAATACTAAAACTTGTCTTAAATGTTTTTTGAGGCCACTTTGAGACATTTATGGAATACTTGTATGCATATTTATCTTCCTTGTTACTTTGCAATGTTGCTAAATTTATATGTAATTGTCTAAGTATTTAATACAAATTTGTGTTTGGTTTTTGGTACACCTTGTTCTGGGTAGAGATTGATGTTGCTTTTACTGTTCCTATTTGGTAACTTGTGCACCGGTGGAAGTGTCTGAATCTTACCTAGAGCCTACCCAGAAATCCTACTTGGAATAGCTAGATTGAGGTTGAACGAATATTTGAGAACGTGTTTACATTATTAGGAACATGTTCAAGAGTGAACTTTTTGGAAACTACATTTGATTGATATGTATGTATTCGTTTTATAGTAGATTAATGGAGACTTGGTTTGTGTATGATCGTTTGATTGATATTTATTTGAGATGTAGTACAGTGAGTGGCTGTGGGTAGGAGGATGTTATGGATTTTGGGATTTGGAAATAGCCCTCTTTTGAGCATGCATGGAAAATGCCAGTTTGTTGAAGATGCCCAAAATGATTTCCGTTAGGTATTAAATAAAGGAATAGAGTTATGGAATGGTATGACATCGACTTTTATTTGTAATAAATATGGTTGTGCCTCTTTTGATGCTAACAAGAAGATGAAATATAGTGTAACAACCCCTGATTCTTTAACGGTGTCTAATGTTTTAGTATATAGCAGTTTGATTGGAATATATAATATTGGGGTGATTTTTTAAGTGCAACAATTTCCAAAAACCTTATGTTAACAGTTTTCTTTATTAATCAATGTTATAGCCTAGTTTGATTTTGAAGTTTTATAACTGACTTTTGGTGATTAGACAATGATTCTTTAATTTGATTTTTATTTTGTTCTTTAGTTTAATCATACTTGATAACCATGATCATTGTTTTCTTGAAATTATACTTCTAATGACAATTTCACTTCCTTTTAGACTTTTACTTCATGTTTAATTTTAATTTTTGGTACCAATTACAATTATTTAGTTTATAGTTTAATTATTTTCACCCAATTTTGTAGGCTTCTGTTGTTGTGAATTGGAACTGCTTGGCTTGCGCGTATTACTCAAATATTTATACAAACTATGTAAATTTTTTTTTTTTTTGTTCTTCATATATAATTATAATTCATGAATAATTTTGTTAAATATTATTATATTTATTTATCAATGAAATGTATATATCTGTTTATTTTATTTTGTATCGTAGTATATTTTAATTTTCATGTAATTACTTTAAAAGGAAATCTGAAAAATTAAAGAAAATAAAAAAAAGATGGGAAATAAAAAATAATATAAAATAAAAATTTTAATTACTGATTCTTATTAAGTGCATTTTAACATAATTTTATCATTAGTGATGGAATATTTTGTGGTAATAACTATTACAAACAGAAATTGTTGGTAAAATAATTAAATTCAATAAATATAAAATTATTTTTAGTGACAGAAATTTATAAATTATTACTGGATATCCTGTCGTTAAAAGAATTTATGTACATAAATTAATTTGGTTGCTAAAATTTTATCAATAAAAAATTTCACCGCTAAAAGTTGTATCATTATTTATAGAAAATGTTTTTTGATGGAATCTTTTTAACAATTTCGTCAAAATTTATGTCAATATGTTTTAAATCTGAGATCCAATCAATGGATTCTAACGCTCAAAATTGTTCTTGAACAAGCTTTAATAAAATGTAATCGTGAATGCGACAAGCCAAATTTAATCATAAATTCGAATTAAAATGAATTTGAATTTAGATTTTTAAAAAAAATTAATCTAAATCTTTTTTTTTTTAATTTCAAACAAAATAAAATGTCTGCAATTATAAAATTATAAATTATAAATTATATATTTTTAAAAAATAATTTTTATATTTGAAAAAATATTATTCTACTTTTGTTTGACACACCAAGCATGATAAGGATACAATAAATATGTTATCTTATTGTTAATTTCAAACAAAACATAATATGATATCATCTAATCCAATCCAATTTTTTTTTATCTTATTTTATCCTAATTCTTCATAATACAATGGATCATACACATAAAAATAATATATTAGTATAGGTTTAGTATTATCATGATCATGATAAGAAATGTTTGGAGTAAACTTACATAAAAAGTAATTGCCATCAATCCAGAAGGCCACCAATGAAACTAGAAATAGAAAGATGAATGAAGACGAACCCAACAAGCCAAGCTTAAAAGACAACATCGATCTTACATGGTACTAAGAATATGGGGAAATTTTGATTCGGTAATGAATAAGATTTAAATGTCTCTGTCTCTCCTGCACTCGGGAGGCACGGTAGGGTATCTAACCCTATCTGTGCAGTAGTTGTAGATGGTGAACTTCGTGCGGACCCAGAGGAGCCTCCTCCATTGATAGGAATCAAGGTCCTGGAACTCCTTCTGGTCCCACCACCGCTTGCCCTGCGTGGCACAGAACTTGGCTTCCACGGAAGACTCACACCCATCAATGTGGAAGCCCTTGTAGGCGGCTATAAAAGGGGCTTTGGACCAGTCAGTCTTCTCGAGCCCACCCCTGGTTGCCCAGTCATCTGCGTTCCACAAGCTCGAGTATATCTTCATTGGCTGGTTGAATGGGAATCTCACCCCCAAATCTTTACAGTTCTTAAACACTCTGATTGGTATGTCGTCCACAAAGAATCTGTCCATATTTTTCTAATAATAAAATTAGAATGACTGGAAAAAAAAACCAAAAAAAGAAAGTTCTTCATTCGAGTCGAAATGTTTGCTGGCAGCAATCAATTTCCATTAAAAAGTCATAAAGTAAGCCAACCACTTGATGACTCAAAACTGAAAAATCCCTAATATTTGACGTAACAAAAGATGAAAACCTGAAAAATCATCAAATTTTAGTATGCATTAACAAAGGGTGGTTGATTTCATTTATGTTGCAGTTTGTCCAATTAAATTCATGAATCCCTATGATAAGATCGACGGAGGATATCATCCGAAGGTTTCGAAAGTTAGGGTGTTGGTCCTAGAATTTGAATATAAAAACGACTTCAGCATTCTAGCAACTTAAATGCACAACAGAAGGCTAAAATCTAATAGAAGATGCAGAAACGACTAATCATGAAGTTATGCATGCTTATATTATTGTTAAATGCAGAAGATAAAAATTGAAAGGATTTGGACGTTTGGGCAGTTAGAAAATACTAGTAGTAAACAGGACACTCACACTACTAGATACATGTTCCACAGAACAGAGTAGGAGTGGTAGGCTTTGGTTGGGTCAAACCAAAGATAAATCCTCTGTTCTCTGTCACCCTTTCCTCCGGTGAACACATTCGTCTGCAGAATGTATGGCTGGCCTGTCCTGTTCCCCAGGAACTCAAAATCTATCTCATCATGCTCCGAATTTTGAGAAGATAACTGCAAGAGATCAGAAAAAAAATGTTAGTCTAGTAGTAGTATTTAGTTGAGTATTTTATAGTTTGGGAAGGAATAGCAAACAAATAAATGAAGCAAAAATTTCTGCTTCGTTTGCATAATAGCTGCAGCTGAAGGACAGCAATTTAACTCACATAGAAGGCAGTAACAGTTCCAGCAGAATCTCCAGGAACTAGCTTTATTTGCATACTAAAGTGTCCAAATAAGTAAGATCCTTTTGACTGGAAACCAGTACCTTTCATAGGATAGGAGAACATATATAAAATATTATAGGAGGATAGAAGCACCGGATTTGATAATTTGATTGGAATAAAAGACTCAAATGTAGTTGATTATATTCATACCAGTATATTTGTCAAGGTGCAGCTCAATCTCGGAGCCTCCATTGTAGTACTTAATGTGATCAAGAGCCCAAGTAGGCGCATAGTTTCTCCCGAATGGGACCGCTACAGGCCTTTTGGGGGGAGCTCCCATTGTTCCAGAGACTATAAATAGGAGAACAAGCAACAGAATCCAGTGTGGTGAAGCCATACTTCTGCACGGCATGAATCTAAGATTAAGATACTTGTATAACCAACGGAAAAGAAAAACCGCTTTTCTAACAGAAAAATGACGAGGTCTGTTTAACAAAACTGGCAGAAAGAAACTAGGAGGTCTGTGGCAGCTGGTTCTAGAGCATTACCGGAAAGAAAGAACAATGACGAGGTTTGAAGATGTATGGATGAGGAAAACTGGAGCAGGGGTGAGGCCTTATGTAGGCTTTTGATTTCAATTTCAAATTGTAGAAATTGTACTCCTATAATTGTTGTTGTTAATTTGAATTTTTTTTAAACATAAAGAATCCGTAACTTGAAATAGAAGAAGAAGTTATAAATAGCAAAATTTGAATTTAAATTTATTAAATATTATTTTTAACATGATTATATAAAGGAATTATACTATGCTTTGAATTTTTATTATTTTAAATTGAATTAATATCACGAATAATTTTTAAATTATCATAAAATATTTAATATAATATTTAAATTTTAAAAATTTTTAATATAATATATGAATATATTAATTAATGTAATATTTGATGAATTATTTATTTTTATATATTATCATTCGAAATTAATTATATTAAAGATAATTATTATATTAATTAAAAAAATTATAATTTAAGTATAAATTAAAATTTTTTTAAATTTAAATAATTTTAAATATTTTAATATAATTTAAAAATTAATATTATCATCTATATAAAATTTAAGTTAACCAAGAAAACCAAAAAGAAATTAGTATTTTTTTGTTTTTATGTACTGTTTATAATTTATAATAATAGAAATGTCGGTACAGCTTCTGATGATTAAAAAGAAAAAACAGAGAGAGAGAAATGGCAGTACAACTAATATATTATATGCCTTAATTTGAGGCGGTGGTGAGGGAGGTCGAATTTATAAAAGGTGATTTTGTTGGACACCAAGAATTAAGAATCTAGTCTGTTTATTTGTGTTTGAAAACATGTTGAAATTTGAAATTTGAAACATGGATGCTTGCTATTATGGTCATGCTCATGGTCTTGGAGATGTGAACTCTGCAAAGCTTTGGCTACCAATCTTTTCTTTTCTCAGGCTATCACCGTAAAATCTGTGGGCCATCGTGTTAGCAACTACTCTGTTTATCACACTTTTGTCTTTTGTCAGTATTGGCATTGGTGGAATTAATAAAAGTATTCTAACATATGGATCCAGCTAAACACTGAATAATAATAGTTGTTGGAGTAAACTGTGGAAAGCTTTTCATGAATTCTATCAGATGCTCCACACCATCAATCAATCACTCCATCACCTTTTACCAATAAATAAAAACCAATAACTCAAAGCTGAGATGAATTTTGTAACTAACACATATATATGATTAAACAAGTAGCAACATCCTTGTGCTTTTTCCTCTCTTTTATGTATATAAACAAAGATAAATTTTTTTATACCGTTTGTATTACATCTATAAATCATGCATATAAATTTTTAATTATAATTATTTATTGAAAATATACAAATATTATTCATTAAATTAGATTGTAAAGTTTAAATAAATGTTTCAAGTCTATAATTGAAGCAATTGTCATTGTCAATATTAAAAATAAAATAAGAAAGAGAAAGAAGATATAGTTTTGATTTTGAAATATTTTAGTAGTATAAAAAATTTGGAAAAGAAAAAAGGTAAAAGCGGAGAAAAAGAGGGTGGGGGTTCCAAAAGGCAGAAGCATGTGGGATGGTCTGCAACAGTGGCAACCTGAATAGCTAAGCACATGCATCTCCAGTGAAATTTTCAAAAAGCAAAACACGACAACTGCCAAGCGTTGCTCTCGTATTGGCCTTACGACTTCAACTTTGAACCTTGTACTCGCCGTCGTTTGGTGCTTTTCATACGAAAACAAATCACCACCAGCACTACCCTTTTCTTATTTCTTGTTTTTCGTTTCCTTCAATTTATTTAATTCAATAAACTTTATGCTTAAGTCCTAAAAATTGGTTTTAGCTTAAAAGTAAAAAATGTTTGATTATTGAATAAGTAAATCTAAGGATGCTTTCTTAAGCGATTAGAGATTTGAGTTCTAGGCTTATATTTCTTCTTAAAAAGGAGTAATCGTAATCGTAATTAAGCTTTAATTGTTAAATGTGTATTACTCTTTCATATGAAACTTGTCCTATAAATTTTAAATACAAAAATTAATAATTAATAATAAATATTATTTATTATTATTATTATACACTCTCAACTCGACTTTTTATTTCATTTTTTTAATGTCTCAAAATCAATTTTTTAAACTTTTAAACTTTTACTTTTTATATTTTAAATTATTTTTTATTCTTTATAATTAATTTTGGAAACATTTTTAAATTTTCATTAAAAACTTTTTTCTTTAAAAACAAAAAGAGACAAACAAAAGAGAGAAAGAGGGAGTATATTTGATAAGCATTTCACTAATAATTTTTGCATAAGATGGAAGGAGCGTCAATATAAAAAGTTGAAATATAATTATTTTTATGTGTCAAGATACATGATTATTGTAAGTATAAACTACTATATTCAAAAAAAAAAAAAAATTAAAAACTCAGATGATATCTTTTTCAAGCAATACAAGTATGAAAATAAGAAAATTTTGCTCCATGGGTAAAAGGTCGTTTTACCTTCACGAGTGGTTTTGGATTCGAGCACTTCGTGTTCTATTCATTTTAGAGGTAATTTTCAACTTACAACATAACTGGCATGGGGATATAACATATTACATTTATAAAGGTCATTTTAATTTATAGATTTTGAGATCAAATCTTAAAATGGATATGATAAAATTTACAGAATGAGCGTCATGATACAATTTAATTTCAGTTCTCCTTGCACCTAATTATTTAAGTCGATTGATAAATGATCTTCGTATGAAAGGGGCATGGTTAAAAGGTCGAAAAAAAAAAAGGTTCAGTGCTTGGCCTTTTATATATGGAATGTTTTCTTAACAACTTGGTGGAACTACTAATTCTGTGAAATATAACTGAAGCATTGTTATCATGATATGCTGGAATAAAAATATTCCATGCGTGCTTGTAACGGTTTTATAGGATGAAAAGAAAACTGTATACTGTCCAAGTTTCTTAATTTCCCTTTCTTCTTCTGGATGCCTCCCTCTGATGTCTGACTTTATGGGATAGATACATCACCTCCCCCATATTGTGAAGTCCAAACAGATTCGATCACAATTGAAATTTGGCAGGCAAAGTCAATTCTCGTCAAATGCTCAAAATCAAGCTGGTCTTGAAGCTTTCTATTCTGGACACCATATGAATGAAACCTGATTTCTGTACGTAATATTTTGACAAATTAAAAATTAAATAAAAAAAAGGGCGATAAGGTTGGAATAGGAAGTCTCTCCAAGTCAGTAGGGTTTGAATTGAACTGAGGAAGAAATGCCGACCTTCAAGCCCAAACATGTGGCAATAAAGTGTTGACGTGCAGTTGGGATTGAACAGGGAGCAGGGCCAGCGCCTGACAGCCAGCCAAGGAAATAGGCCTTGCGGTTGCATGCATATGCATATGCAATATGCAATTGAGTCAGAGACAGACATCGATGGGACTTCAGTTTTGTGAAATTGCTGGTAGTTGATGTGGCAGTGGCACATTTGGTATGTCTGGACTAATGCTACGCTGCCCCAACTTGCAAGCACCGTCTTTTTTCTTAGCTGTGCCTGTCCTAAATAATGCAGATTCTATTCAGCTCTCTGCATGCGATGCAGCAGACCTTTTCCAGCATCTGTGCAATTGTATATGCACGCCTTAAACCTGGGTAAAAAGCCAAAACAAAAGACAAAAAATAAATTTTTTGCCGATTATATCCTTTTATCAATGAAGTGGACAATCCTGTCATCCACATTTATATGGATCGTTCGAAACTCGATAACATGATTTCTCCAACACCCAAATCTATATATTTATCTCATATCGGTATAATTGACACAACTAATTTATTTCGGATTAAATTGGATTAATGTCAAATTATGAATAACTATATTATAATATTCAAGTTGAATAGTATGATTTTACTTGAGTGTAATTCCAATGTTATTTTGTTTATTAAACCTATAATTGAATGAATTAATGTTTACTAATGTAGACAGTTCATTTCGTTAGAGGCTTAAAATTGAATAGCCATTTTCGGTTTGGATTTCGTTTAGATCATTGGTTTTCGAAATGATTTTTGGATCTTTAAATCTAGAAACCTTTGGATTTTGAATTGGTGTTTGGGTTTTGAGCCCAATCTTTAGTTTTCTTTGGTGTTTGGGCTTTGAGCCCAATAGTTAATTTCCTTTTGCTTTTTCTTTTTTTTTTTGTTTTTTCTTTAATAAAAATAAAACAAAAACAATCAAGACAAATGCTTGAGATCCTCTCCTATAAATCAATAGAACAAAATCGTAGATTTGGCAAGGGAAGCAATGGCAGATTATTGGATGGAAGGATTTTGGGAACGTCAAACTTGGATTGCAGAGAACCAAATCATCCTCAATTCAAGGATTCAATCGAATAATCTCTTTCAGAATTAAAAAGAATTAAATCGCTATATAAATCATTCAAAGGCAAACAAAGAAACGGGGAGAAATTATACAAAAACTAAAAGGAGAAAATATGCAAAAAATATAGAAAATCTTATAACAATCAGAGTTTTTTTTTTTTTTTTTTCTAGCTTCATTTTGGTTTTGGGATTTTTAGGCTTGATTTAGTTTTTTGGAACTAGGATTCAATCTCTTGTTTGATTGGATTTCTATTAGGTTTTTTGGGATTTTTGGCTTTAGGTTCAAGGTTCTAGAGTTTTATTTATTTTTTAGGTTTTCTAGAAAATTCTTTGAATTTTTTAGTGAGAAGTTGAAGTTCCCAATGGTCGGAGTCGAGAACCCTGCAAATCCTAGAATTTTTTTTTTTTTTTGGTTTTTGGGCACCATTAAATTTGTTAGAGAGAGAGACAGAGGAAAAATGTTTTAGAGAGAAATGGTTTAAGCAATTTTAAGGAGTAAAAAAGGAAACTTGTGGTTTTTATTCCAAGGCAAAACAACATTGTTTTAAGTTCCTTAAGATATTCAGGGTCTGCGTGTTTTACCGTACTCTAACCCGACTCGCGACGTAACTTGATTTCCAACCCACATTTTCTTTTTGCTCTAAACCGAGCCATGCCCTAGCCAAGTGCTAAGCCACACCGATCCCTATGCTTGCATCTATAATTCTTAGCTACCAAGCCAAGTTGAATTCA